GCTCTTGTGGTTCCCGAGTTGAAAGTTGCGAACGAGTTGCTGCGGACACACACACACACATACACACACACACACACGCACAGACACACACACACACAGAGTTAACCCCGCATCAATATGCGCTGTGTACTGCTATTACACAGCACAAAATGCATAAAAAGACAGGGACGTGGAAAAGCAGCCAGGACCCAAACAAGTGGGAAAGCCAGAAAAGCATTTATATTCAAAATATCTCTCGAACCTAATGCAAAAGGCAGATTCTCTTGGATTTTTGTAAGATTTTTAAAGCCCACGATAATCAATTCCTTTTCAAAAAACAACCTGAATTAAGCAAGCGCCAAAAATGTGTCCTCCAAACTGGAAAAAACTATTATAGATAAGTCAAAGCACGCCAAACATGGAAAAATAAAAAGTACATACCAAGATATTGCCAGGATCTAGCATCGTTTGGGTCCAGTTGTACAGCCCTTTCCAGATGCTCTCGCGCTTCTGCTAGTTTTTTATCCGAACGAAAGTCGGTCAATTTCGCCAGTGTAATTCCATACCTAAAAATCGATAAACATGAAAAAACGAATATAAAAAGCAAAAATGATAAATTCCAAATCTGTCATACTCAGCCACAGTTTCTTTTTTTTTTTGGGAGGGGTTAATAAACAAGAAACGGTAGTATTGTGCATGAATAGCCAACTGTATAGTTCTTTTTTATTGGGAGCAAATCTGCATTCACACACACAATTTAAATGCAAATTCAAAATACAAATACAAATCTGTTTACCAGGATTTGGAGTCTGAAATCCAGCAGAGTCAAGAGGCTGATAAAGTCTAAGTTATTAACTACCCAAATCGAAGCCCCAAAATTTAGCTTATCTGATTACAGAGTTGAAAACACGTGACAGAAGCACACACACACACACACACACGCACATACACACACGCACACACACATACACACATATACACACACGCACGCACACACACACAAACACACACACATACAGCTGTCATAATTGACAGATAATGATTGTCCGTATCATAGGATAATTCCCTCTTTTTTCTCTCCTCTCTCACTCTGTTTGCTCTGCCTCTCTCTCTCTCTCTGCTTTCTCTTTCTTCCGCATATCCTTCTTGCAAATTAGTCACATGACTGTTCAATATATGATGGGTATGAGGCTGTACTAAGTGATTCCCACTTTTACCCGGATGCAAAGTTCGGTCAGTGTTTACAGCTAAGGGATGAAACACAGACAGACTGCATCGTAAAATGTCTTCTTATACATGACACTTAAGTCCAATTCTTCTATTTCAGTATTTGCTTAAATGCAAAAAAAAAAGATACAAAAAGTTTGTGCAAAAATAACATTCATTTTTTCGCAGTGTAAACCTAACTAATTCTACAGCCATAATCGAAATTCTGGTAGGATCACATGCAAAATTTTTAAATGCAGACCACGACTGGATATATTAGCTTTCAGATTTCTCAGCCAAAGTCGGCAAAAATGTATCAAGTAAAGTACTGCTGCTTACCATTTATGTGCTTCGGGACATGGATTTAGCGGATCCTCATGGTCCACCGCTTTTTTGCACATCTTTTCTGCCTAAAAATAATAAATGTTATGTGTTTGTAACTCATAAGAACATATATATATATATATATATATACATATATATCGTCGAAAAAAAAACACTGTTGCATCATGACTCCCTCCTAGGTAGTGCATGTAATGGTGCGAACTGGCCTAGTAGATTGCAGCTTACAGGCCAACCGTAGAAGTGTAGATGGCTGGATGCGCAAGTGTAGGAGGCAGTAATGAAGGTTGGTGGTGAGAGTGAG